TGTAAAGTTCAATACAGTGGCACAGATGCACTTACTACTTATCTTCCTTTCCATCTTTATTTTCAGTGTTCCTCCATATGTTCCTCCTTTGAGAATCATATGTCGAACATGTTGTCATTCATACTATCATTATCACTACTATGATATCAATTACTTAGCTATTTATCGACTTAATTTTGTCACAGTGTTGATTTAGTAGGAAAACGTGGACCAAAGCGAATCTGTATTTGAGTCTACATCGATTAAAACTAACTGAATTCATCAACTCCTAAAGATTAAATACTTGCTACGAGTTGAAGTTCCAAGATTTGATTCTTGAAAGTATAATATATGTACACTACTTAAAGATTACATACTAAGAAAAAACAGTTGTTCAGTTTGCTTATTGGTTTTCTAGATAAAAGCCAAACCATGTCAACTATCTCTACCTAGGTTTGTACCCATATTCTACAATATATCGACAGTACAAAAAAATCCTGGCTATCCAGATTAATATGATAGGCGATGAAGAGGAGAGTGAACATTACACATGTACTCACATTAATATCAGTCACTACCGTAAAAGGTAAACTGCATTCAGCTTCAACATTTTTAAATCCGTCATCCGTAGTAAACGGACTATTCTAAAGAAAAAAAGATGAACAAATAAAAATATCAATCAAGCAACTGAAATTATCCAAAATATTTAATGATACTGAGTATAAGTAAGTCCGCATAGAGCTAGTCCCGGTCCTTTAGAACCACAGTTGACCGTAAGCTTAACGAATCTACCTTGTGAAAAATAAGTCTACTGAAAAGAACGCCAACCACAGAAAACTAATTAGACCTTCAGCTGTGACTTGATGAGTCTTCATATAGAAGATTTATAGTGTCGAATTAGGGAAGTCGAGATTTTTCGAAAGCCAAGATGCCGACGCTTTTTCTGACAACCGAAAACAATGACGAATAAATGAACGTGGAATGTTTGAACAATGTGAGAAACGGAAACAATCTGGCTGTATTTGGAAGAAGCGAAACCCATTGAATATAGTCTGGGTAGAAAAGACAAACTTTAAAAAAGGTGTTGTCTTATTATGGTCATGAAGCACACGATGCTTCCCACAAAGGGGTTACACCATTGTCAAAGCCAGGCAAAGTTTGCAACAGAGCGTAACTGAAACGAGCGAAGGATTCAGTAGTAACTCAACCTAGAGACCAGCGTGAAGACTTTTATAAGTATCGATTACGTACGGGCCGAATCGAGATAGTACAACTCAATGTTGAACAATCAATCGAATGGAACTCATCGCTGTACAGTAACTTCCTTGATTATGAGAAAGGATACGAAAGAGTGGATTTTTTCAAAAATATGGAGTGCCTGAGGAGATTTTCATTTTTATACGGAACTCATACGAAGTACTGAATTGCGAAATTGTGCAGGGAGGGTAGCTCACAGATGTATTTCAAGTGAAGACCAGTGTCAGACAAGACTGGTTACTCTCGTTTTTCTTCTTTTTTTCCAGCTGCTGACTGCACTATGAAGACCATAACATATCTGGGGATGCACGGAATACAGTGAACACCTTAGACTTTGTAGATGACCAATTACTATTATCCCACTCCTAGCAATAAATTTAGGCGAACACAGCCAGTATAGAGGTGGCATCAATAGAAATGGTGCTTAGCATTCACAAAGGAAGAAGCAAGTTCATAAAGATATTTGGCGATACTTTCAATGATCCATTATACTATAAATGACAAGTATTCTCAAGAGGATAAGTGTAGTGTAGCCTAAATATTGTTAAATGGTATTGATGATCTTAGTTCCTTTGCTTATTAAACAAAATATGCACTTGATTGATACATGGTGCAATATGAGGCCAGAGTGATTTATGGACGCTTATGCATATAACCCATAAAAAATGTGCTCAAGATGATATTAAAATAGCAACAACACTTAATATTACATAAAAAGCCGGAGCAACTGGTACAGTCGTTATTTTTACTTCAGAATTTATACCCGTGACAGGACAGCGCCATTACGATCAAATAATTCAATTCATGTGAAAATCCTTCAAAACAAGGCTGCATACTAAAAGTCAGTCAGTTACAACGTAGGACCAGGCACATACATGCATCGGTCCAAGTTGCCATATCTCATTAGCACAGCAAGACGAACACCTGATTCATAGAAGCAGTAAACTCAATGGTGTAATATATAAAGGAAAAATTTTATATAAGGATATAGTACTAAAACACAGAAATCCACTCAAGTTCATGTCTCCATTTTAATTTAAATTATTCGTATTAGTTAACACTTTGCAAATCAGTATTCAGCAATGTTTAGTAATGGTACACTGATTATAAACACTTCAACCAAGCCGATTCACCAATCAATATCGGTTTAAACAGGGGTAGGTAGGACTATTATCTGTCGTGTAACTAATAAAGTATGTTGATTAATTTGACTGAGGATAAATTTCATATTGAAACTAATTTCATGGTAGGGTTCACATTTAAGTGGTACTAAGTAAAGGGAAATGATTTGAAGATTATCTATCTTCATTATGGACTGACGTAAGGTGATATGTGCAACCATGTTTATACTTCAAGATAAGTTCAAATGCACTACTAATCACTAAAAGTTACACATGTGATAACAAATGAACATGCAGCTGTATTTCCAGACCATTCATAACTTTGACACTCGACCATAGCTGCTACCTTGACGCAGTGGTCGGGCTTGCCTATCGTGATGACCCAACCGAGCTATATTGGCTGGAACATATTTCATGTAGGTTCTACCATGACAGGCAGGTCGATTGGAGAACGGTAAGACTAAAAGCAGCAACTCAAGGTCGAAGGGCGAAGTCGTATTGCTGACTGTAGAGCGGTGTGACAGCAGTAAGTTGTTTCTCTCGGACAACCAGCATCTGCAGCGATGCGGCCTTCTCACAAGGAAGAAAGGGGTTGGAAAAGGTCGACCTTAAAATGTCACACCTCACCTTACCTCATGGATTTCTGTCTCCGGTGGTTGGGCCATTTGAAGAACGGAGCTAACACGTCAAAAACCTCCCACAAAAAGGCCGTGCGCGACCGGCCTCAAGCAGTTGTCTCCTGGGCTCTGCGGTCACGCTCCCAGGTCGTTAAGGCCGGCATTAATCCGACTTCATTTTCAGGTCACATCGCTATCAACCACCGATGGACGGGCTCGATAGAAGACTGTCGCTCATTCTGGAGCACATGCCTAGATTCAGATCATGCTCTAGGGCGAGCGCGTATTTGCCTGTGTCTGACTGGACGCAAGAAAGACGCTGCAAGGAAACCTCTTAGGGGCCTACTTAATGATAGTCAAACTAAGAGTATATTTCAGGAACAACTAGAAAAACAGTTAGGCAGCCATGTAGGTGATGCCCACCCCGAGGCAGCATGGAATGATATCCGAAAAGCTGTGGAAACAGCAGTGACATCTACTAGTACGGTAAACCGTAAGGTTAGGGAGAAACACTGGATCTCAGCAACATCAACCGCACTGATAAATGCTCGAAAACTCATACCATCTGGATCTCAACATGACGAAGAGCGGAGTCAGCTTAAGCACAAGCTGACAAGAAGTCTACGCAATGATCGCGAACACTGGTGGGTAGCGAAAGCAAGAGAGATGGAAAAGGCAGCGGCAATAGGTCATAGCAGACAATTGTTCAGACTCGTTAGGGAAACCGGTATTAGGAAACCGACTGTTAGCGAAACACTCTCAGAGAAAGATGGACAAATTATACATTCTCAATCCAGGAGATTGGATCGATGGACAGAACACTTCAGGGATCAGTTCAACTGGCCTTCAGCCACACTTCGGTTTCCCACGATCTCCAGTCAGCCTAAATGGCAAGTTAATGTAGGTCCTCCGACTCTTTATGAAGTTGAAGAAGCTATAGGAAATCTGAAGCGAGGGAGAGCAGCAGGCCCTGACAGGTTCAACCCTGAGATTTTTAAGTATGGTGGTCCAGTATTAGCAGTGAGATTAACTGAGGTCTTAGGTAGAATTTGGGAACTGGACGCAATCCCATCTGACTGGTCTCAATCACTGATTGTGCCAGTCTATAAGAAAGGACAAAAGTCCTATTGTGACAATCACAGAGGAATCAGTTTGACTAATATACTGTTTAAAATATTAGCTTCAATAATACTTCGACGCCTAACTAAAGCTCGTGAAAAGCAGACTAGAGAAAATAAGGCGATATGTGCAACCATGTTTATACTTCAAGATAAGTTCAAATGCACTACTAATCACTAAAAGTTACACATGTGATAACAAATGAACATGCAGCTTGGAAAACTTTCACATGAGAGGAAACTGACCAAATTAATATTCATTTAGGTAAACAGGGTTTGTAGAGATTATTAAGTTTGAAAGAATAGCATCACAGACTCAACTTAAACAACTATTGAAAATCGAAAGGCAGTAAACAGCTGTGTTTTCATGGTATGGGACACCTCAGTGGTACGTATTCGTGACCCGAAAAGAGGAGATCGAAACCAGGACCTTTGGTTGTACGCGCCAGCCCTTAAGATTTTGAACGCTGAGCCGGAAGCCAACAGTGCACCTGTCTAGCTTCAACAGATTCACTATGGTATATGACTATCTTCTATTGCCTGTCGTGGATAACTGTCTCGAAATCAGCATGGTTGGACTTCACCAGTCATAACTTCTCACCAGTGAGCACAGGATTATTGTTGCTACACGGATTTTGTGGAAATTGATGAATAATCGCAGATGACATTTAGATGCACAGTTTGAGTAAGATGAAAAATACATGAAGTATCCCACTTAATAAGAATGTTTACACAAGATACCGATTAGCTCGAAGGTGTTTTAAACATTTCACTGTCTTTCTGAGTTTTGAGGAAAAAAATATTATCAATACTGTATTTCCAGACCATTCATGACTTTGACAACGAAATGTTCACTACTAACAATAATAAACTATCTGCTCATGAGTAAAAACTCTTAGTAAACTTACTGTAATCAATGATCTTATCGTCAATAATTTATCGTGCTGAATTTTACTAGCATCTCGTAGTTGAGCATTTTCTATTTTTAATTGGTCAATGTTTTCATTAGCGGCTTGAAGACGAGATTGAACGTCTTTCATCTAGACATGAACAAACAAGGACAAGACATTAGTAAGTACGTGAATAGACTAGTAAAGATGGTTGGTATTTCCTTACAAATGTTTTTGCAACAAGGAATGATAAACTGAGAGTGGAATAAAGGCGTTTAATTAAGAGAATAATAAATCGAGTGATTAGAATGGGAATCTGAGCCGTTTGGTGTGCCTGAAATGTGTCAGGCATGTCCAGCCATCAACTGTACGACACTTGAGTAGATTGAGAAAGAAGTTTAATATGATTGGACCAATGAATAGCATCTGCCACTGACTGTTAGGCTGAGACTGTATTGGATGAGAAAGATATCAGTGTTCCTCCATATGTTCCTCCTTTGAGAATCATATGTCGAACATGTTGTCATTCATACTATCATTATCACTACTATGATATCAATTACTTAGCTATTTATCGACTTAATTTTGTCACAGTGTTGATTTAGTAGGAAAACGTGGACCAAAGCGAATCTGTATTTGAGTCTACATCGATTAAAACTAACTGAATTCATCAACTCCTAAAGATTAAATACTTGCTACGAGTTGAAGTTCCGAGATTTGATTCTTGAAAGTATAATATATGTACACTACTTAAAGATTACATACTAAGAAAAAACAGTTGTTCAGTTTGCTTATTGGTTTTCTAGATAAAAGCCAAACCATGTCAACTATCTCTACCTAGGTTTGTACCCATATTCTACAATATATCGACAGTACAAAAAAATCCTGGCTATCCAGATTAATATGATAGGCGATGAAGAGGAGAGTGAACATTACACATGTACTCACATTAATATCAGTCACTACCGTAAAAGGTAAACTGCATTCAGCTTCAACATTTTTAAATCCGTCATCCGTAGTAAACGGACTATTCTAAAGAAAAAAAGATGAACAAATAAAAATATCAATCAAGCAACTGAAATTATCCAAAATATTTAATGATACTGAGTATAAGTAAGTCCGCATAGAGCTAGTCCCGGTCCTTTAGAACCACAGTTGACCGTAAGCTTAACGAATCTACCTTGTGAAAAATAAGTCTACTGAAAAGAACGCCAACCACAGAAAACTAATTAGACCTTCAGCTGTGACTTGATGAGTCTTCATATAGAAGATTTATAGTGTCGAATTAGGGAAGTCGAGATTTTTCGAAAGCCAAGATGCCGACGCTTTTTCTGACAACCGAAAACAATGACGAATAAATGAACGTGGAATGTTTGAACAATGTGAGAAACGGAAACAATCTGGCTGTATTTGGAAGAAGCGAAACCCATTGAATATAGTCTGGGTAGAAAAGACAAACTTTAAAAAAGGTGTTGTCTTATTATGGTCATGAAGCACACGATGCTTCCCACAAAGGGGTTACACCATTGTCAAAGCCAGGCAAAGTTTGCAACAGAGCGTAACTGAAACGAGCGAAGGATTCAGTAGTAACTCAACCTAGAGACCAGCGTGAAGACTTTTATAAGTATCGATTACGTACGGGCCGAATCGAGATAGTACAACTCAATGTTGAACAATCAATCGAATGGAACTCATCGCTGTACAGTAACTTCCTTGATTATGAGAAAGGATACGAAAGAGTGGATTTTTTCAAAAATATGGAGTGCCTGAGGAGATTTTCATTTTTATACGGAACTCATACGAAGTACTGAATTGCGAAATTGTGCAGGGAGGGTAGCTCACAGATGTATTTCAAGTGAAGACCAGTGTCAGACAAGACTGGTTACTCTCGTTTTTCTTCTTTTTTTCCAGCTGCTGACTGCACTATGAAGACCATAACATATCTGGGGATGCACGGAATACAGTGAACACCTTAGACTTTGTAGATGACCAATTACTATTATCCCACTCCTAGCAATAAATTTAGGCGAACACAGCCAGTATAGAGGTGGCATCAATAGAAATGGTGCTTAGCATTCACAAAGGAAGAAGCAAGTTCATAAAGATATTTGGCGATACTTTCAATGATCCATTATACTATAAATGACAAGTATTCTCAAGAGGATAAGTGTAGTGTAGCCTAAATATTGTTAAATGGTATTGATGATCTTAGTTCCTTTGCTTATTAAACAAAATATGCACTTGATTGATACATGGTGCAATATGAGGCCAGAGTGATTTATGGACGCTTATGCATATAACCCATAAAAAATGTGCTCAAGATGATATTAAAATAGCAACAACACTTAATATTACATAAAAAGCCGGAGCAACTGGTACAGTCGTTATTTTTACTTCAGAATTTATACCCGTGACAGGACAGCGCCATTACGATCAAATAATTCAATTCATGTGAAAATCCTTCAAAACAAGGCTGCATACTAAAAGTCAGTCAGTTACAACGTAGGACCAGGCACATACATGCATCGGTCCAAGTTGCCATATCTCATTAGCACAGCAAGACGAACACCTGATTCATAGAAGCAGTAAACTCAATGGTGTAATATATAAAGGAAAAATTTTATATAAGGATATAGTACTAAAACACAGAAATCCACTCAAGTTCATGTCTCCATTTTAATTTAAATTATTCGTATTAGTTAACACTTTGCAAATCAGTATTCAGCAATGTTTAGTAATGGTACACTGATTATAAACACTTCAACCAAGCCGATTCACCAATCAATATCGGTTTAAACAGGGGTAGGTAGGACTATTATCTGTCGTGTAACTAATAAAGTATGTTGATTAATTTGACTGAGGATAAATTTCATATTGAAACTAATTTCATGGTAGGGTTCACATTTAAGTGGTACTAAGTAAAGGGAAATGATTTGAAGATTATCTATCTTCATTATGGACTGACGTAAGGTGATATGTGCAACCATGTTTATACTTCAAGATAAGTTCAAATGCACTACTAATCACTAAAAGTTACACATGTGATAACAAATGAACATGCAGCTGTATTTCCAGACCATTCATAACTTTGACACTCGACCATAGCTGCTACCTTGACGCAGTGGTCGGGCTTGCCTATCGTGATGACCCAACCGAGCTATATTGGCTGGAACATATTTCATGTAGGTTCTACCATGACAGGCAGGTCGATTGGAGAACGGTAAGACTAAAAGCAGCAACTCAAGGTCGAAGGGCGAAGTCGTATTGCTGACTGTAGAGCGGTGTGACAGCAGTAAGTTGTTTCTCTCGGACAACCAGCATCTGCAGCGATGCGGCCTTCTCACAAGGAAGAAAGGGGTTGGAAAAGGTCGACCTTAAAATGTCACACCTCACCTTACCTCATGGATTTCTGTCTCCGGTGGTTGGGCCATTTGAAGAACGGAGCTAACACGTCAAAAACCTCCCACAAAAAGGCCGTGCGCGACCGGCCTCAAGCAGTTGTCTCCTGGGCTCTGCGGTCACGCTCCCAGGTCGTTAAGGCCGGCATTAATCCGACTTCATTTTCAGGTCACATCGCTATCAACCACCGATGGACGGGCTCGATAGAAGACTGTCGCTCATTCTGGAGCACATGCCTAGATTCAGATCATGCTCTAGGGCGAGCGCGTATTTGCCTGTGTCTGACTGGACGCAAGAAAGACGCTGCAAGGAAACCTCTTAGGGGCCTACTTAATGATAGTCAAACTAAGAGTATATTTCAGGAACAACTAGAAAAACAGTTAGGCAGCCATGTAGGTGATGCCCACCCCGAGGCAGCATGGAATGATATCCGAAAAGCTGTGGAAACAGCAGTGACATCTACTAGTACGGTAAACCGTAAGGTTAGGGAGAAACACTGGATCTCAGCAACATCAACCGCACTGATAAATGCTCGAAAACTCATACCATCTGGATCTCAACATGACGAAGAGCGGAGTCAGCTTAAGCACAAGCTGACAAGAAGTCTACGCAATGATCGCGAACACTGGTGGGTAGCGAAAGCAAGAGAGATGGAAAAGGCAGCGGCAATAGGTCATAGCAGACAATTGTTCAGACTCGTTAGGGAAACCGGTATTAGGAAACCGACTGTTAGCGAAACACTCTCAGAGAAAGATGGACAAATTATACATTCTCAATCCAGGAGATTGGATCGATGGACAGAACACTTCAGGGATCAGTTCAACTGGCCTTCAGCCACACTTCGGTTTCCCACGATCTCCAGTCAGCCTAAATGGCAAGTTAATGTAGGTCCTCCGACTCTTTATGAAGTTGAAGAAGCTATAGGAAATCTGAAGCGAGGGAGAGCAGCAGGCCCTGACAGGTTCAACCCTGAGATTTTTAAGTATGGTGGTCCAGTATTAGCAGTGAGATTAACTGAGGTCTTAGGTAGAATTTGGGAACTGGACGCAATCCCATCTGACTGGTCTCAATCACTGATTGTGCCAGTCTATAAGAAAGGACAAAAGTCCTATTGTGACAATCACAGAGGAATCAGTTTGACTAATATACTGTTTAAAATATTAGCTTCAATAATACTTCGACGCCTAACTAAAGCTCGTGAAAAGCAGACTAGAGAAAATAAGGCGATATGTGCAACCATGTTTATACTTCAAGATAAGTTCAAATGCACTACTAATCACTAAAAGTTACACATGTGATAACAAATGAACATGCAGCTTGGAAAACTTTCACATGAGAGGAAACTGACCAAATTAATATTCATTTAGGTAAACAGGGTTTGTAGAGATTATTAAGTTTGAAAGAATAGCATCACAGACTCAACTTAAACAACTATTGAAAATCGAAAGGCAGTAAACAGCTGTGTTTTCATGGTATGGGACACCTCAGTGGTACGTATTCGTGACCCGAAAAGAGGAGATCGAAACCAGGACCTTTGGTTGTACGCGCCAGCCCTTAAGATTTTGAACGCTGAGCCGGAAGCCAACAGTGCACCTGTCTAGCTTCAACAGATTCACTATGGTATATGACTATCTTCTATTGCCTGTCGTGGATAACTGTCTCGAAATCAGCATGGTTGGACTTCACCAGTCATAACTTCTCACCAGTGAGCACAGGATTATTGTTGCTACACGGATTTTGTGGAAATTGATGAATAATCGCAGATGACATTTAGATGCACAGTTTGAGTAAGATGAAAAATACATGAAGTATCCCACTTAATAAGAATGTTTACACAAGATACCGATTAGCTCGAAGGTGTTTTAAACATTTCACTGTCTTTCTGAGTTTTGAGGAAAAAAATATTATCAATACTGTATTTCCAGACCATTCATGACTTTGACAACGAAATGTTCACTACTAACAATAATAAACTATCTGCTCATGAGTAAAAACTCTTAGTAAACTTACTGTAATCAATGATCTTATCGTCAATAATTTATCGTGCTGAATTTTACTAGCATCTCGTAGTTGAGCATTTTCTATTTTTAATTGGTCAATGTTTTCATTAGCGGCTTGAAGACGAGATTGAACGTCTTTCATCTAGACATGAACAAACAAGGACAAGACATTAGTAAGTACGTGAATAGACTAGTAAAGATGGTTGGTATTTCCTTACAAATGTTTTTGCAACAAGGAATGATAAACTGAGAGTGGAATAAAGGCGTTTAATTAAGAGAATAATAAATCGAGTGATTAGAATGGGAATCTGAGCCGTTTGGTGTGCCTGAAATGTGTCAGGCATGTCCAGCCATCAACTGTACGACACTTGAGTAGATTGAGAAAGAAGTTTAATATGATTGGACCAATGAATAGCATCTGCCACTGACTGTTAGGCTGAGACTGTATTGGATGAGAAAGATATCAGTGTTCCTCCATATGTTCCTCCTTTGAGAATCATATGTCGAACATGTTGTCATTCATACTATCATTATCACTACTATGATATCAATTACTTAGCTATTTATCGACTTAATTTTGTCACAGTGTTGATTTAGTAGGAAAACGTGGACCAAAGCGAATCTGTATTTGAGTCTACATCGATTAAAACTAACTGAATTCATCAACTCCTAAAGATTAAATACTTGCTACGAGTTGAAGTTCCAAGATTTGATTCTTGAAAGTATAATATATGTACACTACTTAAAGATTACATACTAAGAAAAAACAGTTGTTCAGTTTGCTTATTGGTTTTCTAGATAAAAGCCAAACCATGTCAACTATCTCTACCTAGGTTTGTACCCATATTCTACAATATATCGACAGTACAAAAAAATCCTGGCTATCCAGATTAATATGATAGGCGATGAAGAGGAGAGTGAACATTACACATGTACTCACATTAATATCAGTCACTACCGTAAAAGGTAAACTGCATTCAGCTTCAACATTTTTAAATTCGTCATCCGTAGTAAACGGACTATTCTAAAGAAAAAAAGATGAACAAATAAAAATATCAATCAAGCAACTGAAATTATCCAAAATATTTAATGATACTGAGTATAAGTAAGTCCGCATAGAGCTAGTCCCGGTCCTTTAGAACCACAGTTGACCGTAAGCTTAACGAATCTACCTTGTGAAAAATAAGTCTACTGAAAAGAACGCCAACCACAGAAAACTAATTAGACCTTCAGCTGTGACTTGATGAGTCTTCATATAGAAGATTTATAGTGTCGAATTAGGGAAGTCGAGATTTTTCGAAAGCCAAGATGCCGACGCTTTTTCTGACAACCGAAAACAATGACGAATAAATGAACGTGGAATGTTTGAACAATGTGAGAAACGGAAACAATCTGGCTGTATTTGGAAGAAGCGAAACCCATTGAATATAGTCTGGGTAGAAAAGACAAACTTTAAAAAAGGTGTTGTCTTATTATGGTCATGAAGCACACGATGCTTCCCACAAAGGGGTTACACCATTGTATTTGACCAGTCGAATCAGGTGGACCGGAGGCATCTGTCGACGATCTTTCACCGGCATCCATAAGTTTTTGTTGCAAATCGCTAATCACTTGTGTTTGACATTGAATCGATTCAGTTAGACTGTTCACTTCTTCAATATACATATCATAAGGACACTGAGGGACGTTCCGATCAGTTGTCCGATGCAGACTTAGTGACACTTAGGTTTAACTTATTGGTGTATATAGACCTGATTTATTGTCTGAAGGTATCGAATATTTAGCTATCTTCATCATTTATGTGAATTTTCTATTGATCGTGTTAGAGAATTTCAATGAACGTTATTTAGAGAACGGAGTTGAAAAACACTGCAAATCAATCTATGCAGTTGGAAAATTCTTTAGAATTCTAGAAATCGAATGCACTTGATGTCCTTCTCTAATCCAAATTATCAATAATTTTAACATATCTCCTGACAGTATCTATGACTTCAGGATCGATGATACTAATCCGGGAAATAACCCCTCATTTTCGTAACTACAACAGAATTGAAGGTAAACCACTTGTTGCATTCATTTTTCTCCAATTTTTTTCACTTTTCAAGTTTAACACCCATGAGGGCATAGAAACTGATCAGTGATCATCACAAGTGTTCAACGCACCAGAAATTTAGAATATCTGATTATGATTGTCTTGGGGTCATGATGCAAAACTTGAAAATAATAATCACAGAAATTTTTAATCCAGAGATAAAGTAAATGAATAGAATATAGTGATTATAACAACTTGATACAACTTACTAACCTCTAACTTTTTATTTTTATTCATGAGATTTGTAACTAATTCTGAAGAAAAATGACTGTTAGTAGAATTATTATTAATCGCAGTAGTAGTAGTAGTAGTAGTAGTAGTAATAATGGTTTAATAATTGTTTTTGGACAAGGACTGAGTAATGGAAAACAAGAGGAACCGTTAGCTAATCGTGCTTGTAATTGAGCAACCAAAACACGCAGTTTAGCAAGTTCAGCATCTTTAGGATCAGCACGATTTAAAATTGGTTTATTTTTAATTAAACGTGCTCGATCTGCATATCTGAAATAATACAAATACATTACTACAAATTAAGAGAGAATAATGATTGAAATATTGGAATAACTGATTTTAAATTAACTTACATATAGTTTAGCCCCATAGGTTAATAAATAAAACTTGACCACTTAGGAAAGTTATGGAATAACTTAAATTAAGAAAAAAATAAGAAATAGCCAAGTGATTAAAGCCGCTGAGTGGTTAGTCAGTCAGCAAATATTCATTGACACAAATAGCCATAATGAATATTAACAGGAAATTAGCAAGATACACAACAAGGTCGGAGTAATAGTAGTAAAACTATGACCCGACCGTAGCAGCTACATTGATGCGGTGGCTGGGGCTTTTCTATTGTGAGGACTCAGTCAAGATATATTGGCTAGAAAATTTATTTTTCAAAGTCCTAACACGTTAATCTGATTAACACAGTAGTGGTAAGACCAAAAAAATTCAGGTTTTGGAGGATGGAAGGTGAGATCAAATGGTTGGCTACACTGGAGTTTGGGGCTAGTAAGGTGTCCAGCAAAAACCAGCATCCTCAAGGGTGTTGCCTTCCCACGATGCAAGGAGTAGGAAAATCTTGACTTATGTCTGAAGGTTTTACGGCGACGGTAGTGAAGCTCAAGGTACAAAGCTAAAGCATTACACAACTCACTTAAAAATTAGCGTCTAGTACTTGTGTTGGGACCCGAGAAACAATAAATGGTAACTTGGGATCCTTTTATGAACCAATACTAAACGTATATTTTTATTGTATAATTATTAAATAACTAAACTGTTTATATTCATGTTCCTCTTATATTATAAGCTTTATTTTGACTTATGAACCATTATTATGTTTTACCATTCTTGAACTATGCTCAGTGTATTGATTACTACCTCCCTCATTCACAGCCACATCTGGCCAATTCTTGTACAAATGTTGTTTCATATTTTATTGGTACGTTGTGTTCGGTTTGATTGGTATATAAACTGAGTATGTTTGAAAAATAATGATTCATATCGCAGAAGCTGAGACTTGTGTTCTAGACTTAACTGACCGGGTTAGGCGGAAATCGGGACTCTAGGTTGTTATCACGTGTTTTACGCGTCTTTTGTCCGATCGATAAGTCACTGCTCACTAAACGGCGGTCACAAGTATAACAACTTGTCTTTGAGATTTGCAGTCACGCCCTCAGGTCGACAAGGCCGTCTCCACTCCTTTAGCTTCTATTTCAGATTCCTAACTAGATTGCCATCCACGATGAAGACAAACGGGAAGTGTCAACAATTCACACTATAAGAACGCATGAGTTAATAATGTCCAGAACGAAATCTCAACTCCTAATGTTATTTTATATTTTTACTAACACTATCTCTTTCTGTAAGACATTGGTATTGGAAGAGACTAAACGTAGATAAAATGGTTTGAAAAGGAATGAATTAGCAGAATAAAAAGCATGAAACGGTATTGAAGCTCACGATCTACATGAAGATAGACGATGGATACATATGCACCAAAAATACAATTGAGTTTTAGTGATGTCGTACAAGGTCTTCGATCATTGGTCGGTCAATTTCACCTACTTTAATTGAGCATCTGGATATTACTACTCAGACAAAATGTATGCTTTAAAGCCGAGTACGTGGACTTGTACTTGGTAAATTGAGTAACACTATAACAAACCACTGAATAAATTAACTGGCGGAAAACTAAGTGTTGGTTAAAAGAGTTGAAACTAGAAATGTTTACAGAATAATACAGATCACCGAGCAGACCGCCCCATATCACTATGCTAACATCGCTAGTCGAGGGTGTCATATATTATGTAGCTTTAACATTTTATTTGGCAGAGAAAATCGGCGAGATTCTATAATTCGAAGTACGGGTCGCGCATGCTGAACAACGGACTGGATAATGTTTAGGTTGAATATCAGATATTGAGTTAAAAAGTGGTTGGCCAGTGTGATGACGGCCCACGGGTGAACTCAAGGAAGTCCTAAGGAGCTCAAAAAGAGCCGGAGATATTCCATACAATCACCTTTTGGAAGAACACTCCAGAGTCTTGACGTGTAGCTTCTCTATTGGACAAATGCTAAAGAGCACTGTATGCGGGATTGAATGATTATAATGATGATTTCACTTTTACTAAAAACTATAAATACCTGAGTTTTGTACCATATTTGACACTGGAATAATATTCCTTCTCACTCGTCTTGTCATTTGCGACTTGGAAGGTTCTAGGTTCGGGTGCTCACGCAGTACGCGGTATATCAAGTATCTAAGTTCTAGATATAACAACCAGGATATTAAGTTCATCCATTGAGGTAGTCATGGTATGTATTACGCTAACCCAACCAATTTCTTCGACATCCGGTGATATTTAGGGGACGTCAAACAGAAATTTGATACCAGCCCATAAACTCTATTATTATCGGATTATCGTAATCCAAATCAATGGTGCACATGGGCTCCAGTATCCTGCGGGAACAGATGGCGTATGAACCAATTGTTGGTCACGGCTTCCATGGGACTGCATCTCCTTACGATGCTCCACTACCGTGTGGATCAGACATTCAGGTCGAAGGCTCGGGGAGTGGCCTCCTAAGAAAACCACCTGCTTCGGTTTGGGCACCCGAGCAGTATCACAGCCCTCACACATATCGAATGAGATTTGTGTGGCGCATATGTATTTGGTGCCTCCTTGTATCAATATCTATGTGTTAAAATAAAAATAAATAATTAATCCTAGGTGCGGAGAGTGGCCTTCATCCGTCTTTTCTAGTGTATAAATACCTTACGTCAAACTTCAACACAAGTCAGAATAGGTTGAGCTTAGCAACAACATAAAGGTGAATTAAATATGGAATATACAACACTGAAACAACAACTCACCGAAGTGTGTTCAATGTCTCTTCCATATTTATATCTGCAGGACTAACACAAGCAAGCATTAATGTGGTACTATTCCCGCCCAACGAATCTTGAAGTAGGCGAGTTAAACGTGGATCGCGATATGGAATATGCGATCGTTTCTTTGCGTCCCGTTCGCATAAAGCACTTATTACATTACCAAGGGCAAGCAATCCTCTATTTATATCGATACCTGTCGGAAATGTTTAAAGAATAACACCATATCAACTGGGCTAAACAAGTTAATTAAAAAAACTACAGAGATCCTTAAAACTAGTTTTCCAGTGAAGATAAGTCACCTAACTCACTCACCAATTTAAATTTTAAGCAGAAAATCATTCTGTATGATAAGGAAATTTCGTTGAGCAAAGCTTCAAACTATATGGTTTAAATTAAATGTGGTCAGTGACAAATCTTCACTCTTTTTCTCACTCAAGGTTACAAAATTTAAATATATTACACCTAATAATTTAACGCTTTTTTGTAAATCTTCTATTGTTAATTTTCTATTATCGTTATGTGTTGAATTGACTCGCTTACACCGAACTCGATCTTAATACAGAGAAGACAGTAGTGACAGGACATCAGTAAACTATACACATCTACTTCCATCGGCCGTCTCAAAGAGTTAATACAGAACAAACTCCTACACTGGATACACACCCCTCGATAATAGTTGGATGTTTCTCCAGAACCACGAATTAAATGGCTTAACTACTTCCAAACGAGTTGCCTGTATCCCTAATTGCACTTCGTTAATCTAACACTTAAATACGTAAAAATATGACACACTTAACTTTTTCACTCTGTAATTTAAGAAAAGTAAGGAGAGTATTCCAGTAACATCACCCTACATTCGACCGGTGTCATCACTAAAGAGTAAAATTTTCTACAAACGCTCATATGCTTTGCAAATGACAACAGGGTCTTTGATAGGATGGCAATATCGTTTAACACGCTTGTCGAAGATAATCTCGTGAAACTTCTCAATCGACTGAGTTAAATGCCACTCACATGTTAAAGAGCATAGAGTCCGTAAGTATGGGGATGAATCTACTGTGTCAATAACACATTGCTTACTACCTGGGCCTTTCCAAGCGTAACCAAACCTGATGTGATGAAAAAAATTGAATGTCGAGTAACTACTAATTAATCTGTTTGGCAAGACAAATGAAGACTATATTTATGTCGACCACGTAATAAAAAAACGCCACCAAAAGATAACAGTACAAACATCCAAAGATACGTATAAAATACACATACCTTCTTTAAGTCGGTCACCTTCAGCATGTGTTTTCTTAATTCGTTCAGAGCCAGCTAGGTCGACTAAATGTAATTTAACTGTTAATGTACCTCCTGTATTCTCCCCATCCATCTCTGTTATCTTTGGCCGCAACAAAAAACATAGAGTAAGGATGGTATGACTGCGACTGGATCTTAAATTCCGCCCCCACCGTACTCGCAACGCTTCTTTTTGTTGAGCCACAGTGAAGAAGATAAAGAACTTCTTCCGGAGATGTGACCACTGTTTCAGTTAGGCCTGGGATCTATGCAGTAAACTCTAAATACGCAGTGAGGAAATACCTTAACAAGTTGATTCTCTTCACGTATTTGTAAGGATGCAGATACATCTTCGCCTAACAGATCATGTATATCCTCTTTATATATCTGGGAAATAACTTAATACAAAGATGTGTATATTACCTCCAGGAATGAAACCTTCACTGTGTACTCATACTCATAATTTGGCATTTTCTCAAATAAATCCTTAATAATTCGAGGAACAATACCAGTGGATTCTTTTACCACACTTTCGGAGATACATGTACCCATTGTATATGTTTTCCACTTCCAGTTTGACCATAGGCAAACAGAGTAGCATTATATCCTTTTAGAATATTTTCAACCATTGGAAGTGCAGCCTTTTTGTAAACATGCTCTTGAGAATCTGTTTCTTTGAAAACATAGTCAAAGCCAAAAAGCCTGTCATTTCCAATTATTAGCTGATTTTCTTCATTTGGATATGACAAACAGGTCGAACTCCCGTCATTCACTTCACTGTCTGACAATGGTCGAACACGAACACCAACTTTCACACTTGTGTCCCCAATTCCCATTTGTACAGGGTACGGAAGTATCAAAGCGCTAAGAGCTGTTGACAGATAATAATATATTCCTAGCTATAGAAGTTTTTAAACAAAACTTTCAATGAAAAACAATAACATCAATCGGAATGTTTTTGGTACATAACAGAATAGAAGACATCATTTAGTGGCTACAAACTATCAGGAACATAGTAACTCATGAAAACTAAACATACCTAATTGTCGACGTTTAATAGGAAAGAATGCATTTATGTGAGAATTGAAGTAACAGAGAATTAAGTAACATTCCACTCGAGAAAGTTTAACTGCTGAAAAGTTTGTAAAACTTGAAGGAAATGTGAGCTTAAATTATGTGTAAAATATATTGAACATGGACTGTGAAAACACTCGGTTTTATATATGACAGTTCTCTATATTTTTTTAGGTCGATTTTCAGTATTACGAAAAACCTGCTTTGTCTCAAAGCATTTACTAAAGAAGTTCGTGATCACAGCCAAAGTAAAATTAAAGGTTTCTAATAGAACATCACTAACATAAGAATGACAAACAAACATATACATGCAAGCTCTAACTTACTAAGGGGATAATTTGGTAGTTAAGGTATCCTACATTTACTTACCAGGTCACATATTTGTGCATCGCTCCACCTATTTCAGTTTGGGCAGCATTATAATACATCATACCTGAAGTGTGGCTTAAGGACGAATATATGAGCATGTACACAAACGATGAAATTAAGACAACCGAACTCAAATTTGTGACCAAACACAAGACCACCTACTTTTTTTAGTCATAATGTTAGGGGAAGAGGCACCATCCGCGTAGCTCAACTTACAAATATTTTTGGCCTAAACTAACTATTTCACCGACCTACTAGGCTATGTAACTTAGTGTGTATCGCGTTATAAATTCAATAAATAGGCGATCCAATGACTATATGTGTGTGACAAAATATGATTATTTTGTAATTATGTGGCTTTTGTACGAAATAATGATTCTTTTGTATTTTATATTCCGCTGGTTACGAATTCCAAATGTAATATGTTCGTTTGTGCCCTTCTAGTTCTACTTGCTGTAAATTGCACCATTTCTGGAATTCTTAGTAAGCACGTCAATTAGAATAATTCTAACCATTATATCGACAGTCGCGATGGATACTTTGATAGAATATTTGAATGTACATTCAATCCTGACGTTTTCGAATGATTACATGGAAAGGTCTGTAATCTGAAGCCTAACCAGGAAAGAAGTTAAGGATGATAAAATGACGGCTAATTTCCTCACATTCAATGGAAAGGATGCTTATAGCTTATTATAAACTTTAGCATTCCCAGATAAGACTGTTTCACATCTCTATGCAACTATCAAAGAACCACTACAAAATCCATGTAGAGTGCACTAATTTCTAATGCTGTGTAAAGGCGAAATTTCAAAAACGATTACAGGATAACCAAAAGGTTAGAGAAATTACCCTTGAGTTGCAGATATAATCCCTTATGTGTGATTTTGGTGATCAACTGCATGTGCAGATGGAAGATCAATTAGATGCAGGAATTAACATACCAAATCAGGAAAGAGAGCTATTACAAATGCAGCAGCATTCCTTCCACGATGCTAGAACTGCGTGTATTAGTTGTAAGGCATGCATGTATTGTTCTCCAGGTCATCTATAATCCCAGTGCATTGCTTAGTTATCCTAATCCGATGAGTACACTGCCCTTATTTACTACTTCGAGTAATGCACTTCATTTTCAAGACGAATGTATTTATCCAGTGTCGCTTTTCACGATGCCCTAACCCTAACGTTAGGTCACTTCGAATGTGCCCGCCTTTTCGTTTCAACGACCTTGAACGGCTTGACTAGAGGCGGTCATTCCGTATTTCAATCGCCGTGGGTTGGTTGGATTAAGGTTTTCATCTTATGCTGCATACAAAAGCACGAAAAAAAATACTAAAACCATTAATTTAGCATTCTCTGCTTTGCAGTGTACACTCTGGCTCTGTTGTTGCTTTGTAATTTGATCTTTGATCCCAACAAGTGTAGTAAAGCTCAACGAATATCAGGCCACAGGTAAATCCTAAGTATTTGTAGTATTTCCTTGGGTTATTATTGTTGCAAGGGATAACTTTTTAATAATTAGTCATGTCTGTTTTTAATGCTTCATGCTCAATTGACATTTCAGTCGACCTCACCGATGCCCTCGAAGTATGATACTGATATTACACGCGCGCTATCTAAAAAGGACAGTGGTATTGTTTCTCGTTAAATTTTTAAACTGTTTTGATCGTAAATTACGTATCAAAACTACGATTTACACTTTAATTGAATCTACTCCAGTTAAGGTGATATTTTACTGAGTTTTTTTGGCTTTTGTGTATTTATTACATTCGAAAGCATTCTTGGTCTGTATCAAAGTACTTTAGTTAAGGTTTGACATCTTGCTAGAGTTTGTCTTGTGGTTCATACTGTGATCATATTGTGTATTACACCTAAATCAGACTAAAATGGTTGGTAGTACCCACAAATGTGGACAACCAAACTGTTTGTTCCCTGTGGAGGAGGGAATGCAGTGTGACGAATGCAATAAATGGTTCCACAAAATGTGCACCCGTTTAAGTCCCACTGCATATAAAAGATGTTCGAAGCCTAACTCACATTGGCTTTGCATGTTTTGCTGTGCCAACAAGGCATTGCTAATACAGGAGGCTATGAGCCTATTGGCTTTGGCCTGTAAGAAGAATGATGGCATATGCGCCGACAACACGGGCACTGACAGTGACGAATGTGTCAGTGTTGTTACGCGACGCCTCAAAAAACCGACTCTGACCGACGTAAAAGTGAAATCTTCGTTGATATTAACAGGGGGAGTAGTACCACCTAGTACTGACATTGTTAATAATGCACCTTTAGTAGGAACCGTAGATCTGGATAAAACAGTCACCATTCCAAATAGTCCCAGTGTTATGAGGGATGAAAAATGGACTACGGTACGTAGGAAACGAAACGAAAAGAAAAAAGCTGTAAGCAGTACACAGGCAGTTAGTAACTCACTGGTGGACTCAAATTGTGAGCCACAAATTGCACTACCAAGATCTGATCGTAAGAGTGAAACCCATCCTGGCGTAACTGAGAAGAAAAATCTAATAACATCGAATATTATTGTGAGCAAATTGCGGGAGTCAAATGACCCTGATCCGAAAATTAGACACGCGCATGACTTAGAAAAGCTAGGAGAATACATTCGTAGTATTTTACCAGATAACTCCAAAGGAGTTCAGGTTAAAAAGTTGGTAAGAATAGGCAAGAGGACCGAGGACAATGTTGAACCCCGTCCATGCAGACTCCTTAAGGTAATCCTAGGATCGGAGAAGCAACGGGATCTCTTGTTAAGTAGCGCTCGTTGTCACGACAATTCTGACATCCGAGTTAGACCTGACATATCTCTCGAAGATAGAATAAAAAGGAAGAAAGCACTAGCTGAGCTTGAAACCCGTCGGCAAAACGGCGAGGAAAATCTCCGGCTAGTGGGTTTTCGGATAGTCAGGTCTTGGAAGCGAATGCTACCAAGGCCTGTGTGGATAGGCTGTTCTACTTAGGAGTTTTATATGCCAACGCTCGTAGTCTACGAAATAAGTTCTATGAACTAGAAGCACTAGTGGACAGGTTAAAGCCACTCATAGTAGCAGTGACAGAAACTTGGTTAGTCGATGACTTAGACATTACTCCAGAATTATCCGGATACCATTGCATCAGGAGTGATAGACATAGATGTAGGAAAGGAGGCGGCGTCCTGTTATACATAGCCAATAGCATAAATATCCGCTCCTCTATTAGCGAATCCCATGATAGCGGCACTTGTGAAGTCATTAGCTGTAAGTTGGCTATAGGATGTAGTACATTTATGCTAGGTGTCATCTATCGGAGCCCAATCTGCCTAGCTGATGACTTTGTTTTAGAGCACATTCATCTTTGGAGTGAAAATACCAGATGTTTGATAATAGGAGACTTTAACGCACCTGATATTAGTTGGACTGATATGACCACAGAAGGATCTATAAACTCCTTTGATAGTAAGTTCCTGATAACAATAATGGAGCATGCACTAGTACAGCATGTATCCCAACCCACACGTTTTGGTGTTAACCAGGGTTCTTCTCTGCTGGATTTGGTAATCACTCATGAGACTGAGGATATTGTCGACTTAAATATTCTCCCGCCGTTAGTGAACAGCGATCACGCTGTTTTGTCATTCACGTTTCGAACTAGGGACATGTTATACGATCAGGTTACACCTCGCCCAAATGTATGGAAAGCTAACATATCAGCCATTCAGGAATGTGCTGCTAAGACAGATTGGTTAGTAGATACTAGCATATCAGTTGAAGAAGCATGGTCTGTATTTAAAGGTAAATTTAGACTAGTTACGTCCCCGTTCATACCATACCTGGTACCGCGAAGACCGAATAATAGTCCACCATGGATAACTAAAACGGTCAGGAAACTCCTTAGAAAAAGGAAGAATCACTGGGATATGTTCATCTCTACTGGCTTAGAACAATACAGATCCAGTTACTGTAAGATTAGGAATGCCTGTAAAGCGTTAATAAGTAAAACTAGACTATCATACGAAAAACAGTTGGTTAGGGATTCTAGATATAGTCCGAAACGGTTATTCTCGTATATAAAAAGGCGAACTAAGAGAAGTGATGGAATTCCATCACTTTTGATACGAGAAAATCCGTTAATCTTAGCAGAGAATGATGCCGAAAAAGCTGAAGCTTTATCGGAATACTTTAGTAAAGTGTTTTCTATCGGTAATGAGGAACGACCAATGATTCGTCGCGACCGTGACGGCTCGCTGATGGATCCTGTAGTCATTGAGAAAGATAGTATTACAGGACGATCTTAGCTCATTGGTGGCATGGTTAGATAGGTGGTCACTAGAAGTAAATCCAAATAAGAGTGTAGTGATGCAGTTAAATAACTCTGATGAATCGTATGACTATACACT